TTTTAATTTTTAATTTTTAATTTTTAATTTTTAATTTTTAATTTTTAATTTTTAATTTTTAATTTTTAATTTTTAATTTTTAATTTTTAATTTTTAATTTTTAATTTTTAATTTTTAATTTTTAATTTTTAATTTTTAATTTTTAATTTTTAATTTTTAATTTTTAATTTTTAATTTTTAATTTTTAATTTTTAATTTTTAATTTTTAATTTTTAATTTTTAATTTTTAATTTTTAATTTTTAATTTTTAATTTTTAATTTTTAATTTTTAATTTTTAATTTTTAATTTTTAATTTTTAATTTTTAATTTTTAATTTTTAATTTTTAATTTTTAATTTTTAATTTTTAATTTTTAATTTTTAATTTTTAATTTTTAATTTTTAATTTTTAATTTTTAATTTTTAATTTTTAATTTTTAATTTTTAATTTTTAATTTTTAATTTTTAATTTTTAATTTTTAATTTTTAATTTTTAATTTTTAATTTTTAATTTTTAATTTTTAATTTTTAATTTTTAATTTTTAATTTTTAATTTTTAATTTTTAATTTTTAATTTTTAATTTTTAATTTTTAATTTTTAATTTTTAATTTTTAATTTTTAATTTTTAATTTTTAATTTTTAATTTTTAATTTTTAATTTTTAATTTTTAATTTTTAATTTTTAATTTTTAATTTTTAATTTTTAATTTTTAATTTTTAATTTTTAATTTTTAATTTTTAATTTTTAATTTTTAATTTTTAATTTTTAATTTTTAATTTTTAATTTTTAATTTTTAATTTTTAATTTTTAATTTTTAATTTTTAATTTTTAATTTTTAATTTTTAATTTTTAATTTTTAATTTTTAATTTTTAATTTTTAATTTTTAATTTTTAATTTTTAATTTTTAATTTTTAATTTTTAATTTTTAATTTTTAATTTTTAATTTTTAATTTTTAATTTTTAATTTTTAATTTTTAATTTTTGTCTTAAAAGAACTTTCTTTTAAAAAAAATTTAAAACATTACATTTTTTAATCTTTTTATACTGGTCACCAAACGGACTAGAAAGATAATTTTTTTTGTGACTAGAAACTTTCACTAATCGTACACTAAAAAATAAATAAATAAATAAAAATAATGCTACTCATTGTGGACCCTAAAAAAGCTTTTTCATATGAAAAACTATATGGTTTTGATGGTTTTGGTGACCAACCATATACAACATTAATTATTACCCAGAAATTATATCATCAAAAGTATACAACACATTTATACACTATCCATCAAATTACATTGAGTTGTGAAACAATGATATGATACATCCACAAAAAAAAAAGTGGTCAGTGAATGTGGTCAAACTCCTACTCAACCTGCTGTAAAAGATCAAGTTAGTAAAAATGTAGTAGATGAAATTTCCTTTGATTTGATGCTTAACTGAGGATAATTAATCAAGAGCTCGGCGGCAGTGACATCAATCGCTCTCCGAAAAGCTTTGAGGCTTGCTGCTTGCAAAAGCCAACCATACAATTGTACCTGTAAGGTAGAAGAAGATCGACGGTGCAAATAGTGATACCTACATAGAAGAAAAAGATGTTTAAGACTATAAGTCGCAAGAAATGTAAGAATATGGATACCCAACAAAGTAGGCACAAGTCCAGTGACATGCCACCGATGGTGTGGCCACCACCAACCTTGTGCGTAGGTGGTGTTTTATGCGGTGTCTGTAGCATTCTTTGACAAAACAATGATACTTAAACGAGGGAATAAGGAGGGAACTTACACTCCATGAATGAGTTGAATCAAGAAGATAACCGGTGAGAGCAACACCTACAATTCCTGGTACAGCCCCCACTGTATTGGTAATACCCTGAGTGGACAAATTTAAGAGAAAAAAAACCATATAAACCCTTAACAAAAAAGCATTGACTGCAATTTTCTTCGACAAGACAGACAAGAAAGGTATATAACATTTTTTTATCTTTTATTTGGATTGGAACATAATACTCATGCCAATCTGACCCTACCTCACCACCTGAACCAAGGAATAAAGGTACCATCATGCATTTGTCACGACTGTTTTTCACCCACACCACTAGATGGTTGGCGACCACTTTGTATTTAAACTGCTGGAAATTAGATCGGATCCAACTCGATCGATAACCAATGGAATGTCCCCATGGGTTATCTGATAAAACTATGTATTTGAATCCTAATATGGGAGGAGCCGTAAAAACTCTGTTTTAAAAAAAAAAAACTGAAAACTCAAAATGGAAACACATTTTTTGTGTTTTCATTTTTTGGCCAAATTTATAAACTGAGACCACTGATTTATAAATCAAAAATTTTACCAAACAAGTTTTTATTTGAGTTTTTAAAATTTTTGTAAATATAAATAGAAAACCGAAAACGTAAGTGTTACCAAACGGCACCTAATTAATTTTTTAGAGTTGACATTTTTTTAATTTAGGATTAAAAGGTTTGTTTGAGTTGATTTTTTCAATTTTCATAAGAAAAAAATAAAATAATTATAATTTAAATATAATTTTTTATAATTTTTATTTATTTTATTTTGTAATAACTAATTGGAAAATATTTGGTGGTCACAAATTCTGTGATTTAAATGACCTGAAAATATCAAAACGACATCGTTTTGACATTTTTAAAATTATTTTGTACCAAAAACAATATCATTTTAATATTTTTAAACCATTTAAACCACAAAATTTTTGATCACCAATCATTGCCCTAACAATACATAAGTGAATATTCATCACACCTAAATTTAAATGCTAGTAACTTTATTAGGTAGGTAAGCCATCTAAGTAATTATAATAAGGGAAAATATTTGGTGGTCACAAATTCTGTGATTTAAATGACCTGAAAATATCAAAACGATATCGTTTTGACATTTTTAAAATTATTTTGTACCAAAAACAATATCATTTTAATATTTTTAAACCATTTGAATCACAAAATTTTTTATCACCAATCATTGCCCTAACTAATTTAATCCCAACTCCACTCAATCCACGCAGCCAAACGCCTTTGAAGGCGCCACATAATTGCCAGCAAACCGTGCACCAATATTGGGGGCCACCCCATTAAATGTGGATCCGAAGTGGGATCACGACTGCTGTGCGGCTTACAGCAGTGGTTGTTGTGCGATACTTAAAAATTATTTTAGATTTTATTTTTATCATCTGAATTATTTAATTTTTAAAATTTTTTAAATAGAATATATTTGTAAAAAATTAAATTGATTGGATATTAATAGATCCTTTATCATGTTGAATTCGTATATATAAAAATAAATATATAAATGTCAAACTAAATACAAATATAAGTTGAAGGGTATATCGATTTCCGATCAATTTAATTTTTTACAAGTATATTTTACTTAATATTTTTTAAAAATTGAACGGTTGAAAATGAAATCCAAAATAATTTTCATAAATCGCACAACAATTATTGTTGTGCAAGCTGCATTCACAGCAGTCTCCAACTCCATCTGAAGTTGGGTCTGATTGGAGGAGAGGATATCTTTGCTTAATTACCGCTTAAATTCTCTATTCCATGTTTGGCATATCTCGGAATCGAAGACGACCAAAATTTTTTATGTCCCAAGGTCATGAGTTCAATTTCTTCCTTCTTGGGCCAATCTCCTAGGCGAAGCACAGTTGGTTAGAAGGTTGGATCTCAAATTGTCTAATCAGCACTTGGTGTGGGTTCAATGCTCCCCCGCTGTGCGAGTCCTGACTTAAGCGGAACTTGCCTTGGGAGGTCGGGACAAGTTCTCAGGTTATAGTCTCCTCACTTGAAACGGTTAACAGGACACCCTGATAAACTCTGCAAGGGGCGCTGCCTTGGACCTACGGGAGGGTAGGGAGGATTTTCCTGTAACAAAAAAAAAAAAACACCAACAACAAGACCAAAACAGTAGTACCCTTTATATTATTATTATTTTTTAGTTTGAGATTAATATATTGTTAATGATCAAACCAATTATAGCGGATTAACTCAGCAAAATAAAATTGTTTGATTGGTTGGAATTCACCTTTTCAAAAAAGTAGGACAATAAATCGACTTTAATTAAGTTGATCGATCACAATTGATAAAAATCATTAAACACAAAAGGACGATCTCCTCTTTAGTTTGGATTCCAAGTTGAAGTGCAATCTGAACTGTTTGCCTTTCACATAGACACTTTTTGGAAATTAATAATTTAAGATCTTGTCAATTTATTTATAAATTCAATATTAAACTCAAGTAAAAAAAAAAAAAATCGTATTCAACATTTAATAAATGATTAGATGGATACAAAAGCATGTTGAGATAAATGTAGAGTAGAATGTTATTGGGTAATAAAAAATTAGATGAATTACCCTTTGTTTTTTTTTTTGTTTTTTTTTATATATATTTGCTCATTTTCTTATTTTAGCTCTTAAAATTTATTTATTTTTCACTTTCACGTTTTATGTTTTAAGTTTTTTTATCAATTTACTTTCAAAGCTAATTTTTATTTAAAATTAAGCAGAAAATGTCATAATAATTGTCACATAATATGAAAAATATATTATTATATTGAAATTTAAGTTTATGTTAGAGATGTGAATTATATATAATAAAATATTTTTATATTAAGTAACTGTAAATGTGTTATTTTTTGTCTAATTTTTAATAAAAAATAATTTTAGGAACAAATTGAGAAAAACTTCAAATATGAAGAGCAAAGTTAGAAAAAAAAAATAAAATAAAATTTCTTAAGATTAAAAATAAAAAAGTGATCAAACAAAAAAGATAAAATGTAATTTACTCTAAAAAAATTGGTCCAAGAGGAGAGAAAAGATTTCCTATGATTAAATTAGGGATGGCAATGGGGGTTAATGGGGTGGATATTAATTCCCCATCTCCATTCTCCTATAATAAATTTTTCCCATTCCCCATTCCCCATTCCCCATTCCCCATTCCTCATGGGGACCACCCTCTCCATTTCCTAATGGGATTGAATTTTTCCCAACCCACTTTAATCCCTATTTTTATTTTATTTTTATTTTTTTATATTTAATGTTAACAAACACTTCTTTTATTTTTTTTTAATTTTTTCACAACAAAAGCTAAATATATCTTCAATCTTTTTTCTTTCTTTTTTAATATATTTAATGTTAACAACTTTTTTTTTTTAAGGTGCACAACAAAAGCTAAATATACCTTCAATCTTTTTTCTTTCTTTTTTAATATATTTAATGTTAACAATTTTTAATATATTTTTTTAAAGGTTCACAAAAAAAAAAACTAAATATACCTTCAATCTTTTTTCTTTCTTTTTTAATATATTTAATGTTAACAACTTTTTTTTTCTTTTTTTTTAAAGGTTTTAGCTAAATATACCTTCAATATTTTTACTTTCTTTTTTAATATATTTAATGTTAGCAACTTATTTTTTTATTTTTTTTAAGGTTCACAACAGAAGTTAAATATACATTCAATCTTATTTTATTTTATTTGGTTCAACAACAAAATCAAATACACATTAATTAATTAATTAAAAAGTTTGTTTTATAATAATAAAATATATAATTTTGAGACAATCAAATAAGTTTTAGTAATTAAAAAAAAATGTGGAAGAACGTAGAAGATTAAAAAAAAAATTACAACCATCACTCTCTCTCTCACTCTCTTCCCTACATGTTATAAGAACCTGTTTACAATGTTATAAGAGCCTGTTTGAAGAAATAAAATGTGAAAGAACCTGCTTGAAGAAAGTGTTATAAAATCCATATTAAATTGCATCATGGCATAAACAAGAAATTGTTTGTTAATCTCTTAGCCACGGACATTTTAGGCATTAAACCATCTTTCTCTTAGCAAATTTGAACCATTCATTTTAATTTATCCAAAATCTAATTATACCTTTTAACAAATCTGAACCACTGATTTTAAGATATTTATGCCTTACCACACCCAATCCATCCTCCATCTTCTTCCTTTAGTCCTCCACAAATTTTGTTGTGTGTTACTTTTAAAAAACAAAAAATATTTTTTCAATTAAATTTTTACTAATTTTACAACACCATCACCACTATTCTCACTTTCACTATCACACTACCATCACCATAGCCACTACCATCATCACTGCCGCCATCATCCTACCACTAGGTCACAATCTTTACTTTCACTTTCGTTCCATCACCACCACCACCAAATATAAAAAAATATATTTTTAATTTTTTTTATAAAAAATATTTTTCATTAAAAAATATTTTTTATCTAAATAAATGAAGCATAACATTGGGAAACAAGCTAATTTCAGTTAAATCTGTTCATAACTAAGAAAAATTCTTTTATCTAAAAAAAAATTATTTTGTATCCCCTTTTTGTGTTTTCAGCAAATAAATCTTTGTACCCATCCTTTCTAACCAATCACGACTCATGCTTGTTTCGATTATTTACAATTTCCTTATTTTCAAATACATTCATATATATACATATATATATGTTGTATAAATTGTGTGATAACATAAAACAAATAGATTCATACTCGTTAATTGAAATTTCAGAACAAGCAAACCATTCTAAAAATTACAATACATAACAAAATAAAATAACATAGAAAAGCAAACCGAAACATGCACTAGACAGTGTCCTTAATTGTTTAAAATAAATTTAAAAAATTCCAGATATGCATAAAATTTGACAAGAATAATGTGACAATATTAATTAATGTGTATTTGATTTCATTGTTGAGCCAAATAAAATAAAATAAGATTGAATGTATATTTAGCTTTGGTTGTGAATCTTAAAAAAAAAAATGGTTGTGAACCTTAAAAAATAAGAAAAATAAAAAAAAAACAAAAGAAAAAAAATTGAATGTATATTTAGCTTTGGTTGTGAATCTTAAATTTTAAAAAAAAAATGGTTGTGAACCTTAAAAAAAAAAAACAAAAAAGATTGGAGGTATA